CCTCACCTGCTAAGCCTTCTTTCTGTCAACTTGAGGACGAGTCTTGAAAACTCTGACAAATACTGATGATCGAGTACATTGCTCTCGAAGCTTTAGGACGTGAATAGAAAGCCAATAAATGTATTGGTTGCGAACTTACCGGTCACACAGTGCACTCAATCGGAAGCCCCTCTATTAATATAAACTAAGGTGGCCACCCTCTTCCAGGGCACCAATCGCAGGGTCTTCAAACTAATGCTTGCTCGCTCCTTTTTCCAGGCAGCCCATCGAGATTCCTGAAGATTTCGAGAAAGGCTTGTCTTGCACGTATATGAATTGCTTCAATGAGCACATACCTGACAACTCTTCGTTATCATTAATAATATTTTAACGTTGTTAGAAGGTCAATAACTTCTGTAAGCGCGAGACACACGTACGTAAGACGAATGCAGGGCAATCGCTTTTGATCTATAAGATCTGCAATCGCGAAAGACAAGTACGTAGGACGAACACAGTATGAGCGCTCTTGATCCATGGACAACTTCTGTAAGAGCGTAAAACAAGCATATATGATTGACCAGACAAGCATATCTTTGCATATCTGTGCCAGAGATTTCTATTTTCCATGCACTGCTTTGTATGTTTTGTTTCAAGATTCGTGTTCAAGTTTTAATCAACGGCTAAGGAGTAGCCGGCGCCATAATGGTGCGCCAACATCTTCTTAAATATCATACCAATAAAAAAAAGACCAGACAAGCACTTTTGATCCTCACTACGAACTCGCCCGATCAGTACCGACTAGCCCGATGTCCCTTGCCTTCTATGATATACGTCGTCACGATTCATAAGCGCACGCCGCGTAGCCGGAGCGAAAGAATCTGCCCGATGAAATGGCGCATGCCCGAGCCTGTATGGCGTGACCGGTGCAAGTATGAGTCAGCGAAACTATTTCTGGCTACATGTCCCGGGGAGCCACGAGAAGTGGCGTGGTTTTGCGGGAAAGTGGTCGGTGCACGAGTCTTGGTCATGGCCCGCTTTTCCGGACGCCGCATGTGCACGGCCCAGCAACGTAGTCACGCGATACGAAGCCACTCAGCTGTATGGATAATTGTGTGGCGTTATTTTCAGGATAACATCGCCTTTCTTGAGCTTCCTCGTGGGAACGACGATTGAAGGCTAGATAGATAGATAGATAGATAGATAGATAGATAGATAGATAGATAGATAGATAGATAGATAGATAGATAGATAGATAGATAGATAGATAGATAGATAGATAGATAGACAGATAGACAGACAGACAGACAGACAGACAGACAGACAGACAGACAGACAGACAGACAGACAGACAGACAGACAGACAGATAGATAGATAGATAGATTAGATAGATAGATAGATAGATAGATAGATAGATAGATAGATAGATAGATAGATAGATAGATAGATAGATAGATAGATAGATAGATAGATAGATAGATAGATAGATAGATAGATAGATAGATAGATAGATAGATAGATAGATAGATAGATAGATAGATAGATAGATAGATAGATAGATAGATAGATAGATAGATAGATAGATAGATAGATAGATAGATAGATAGATAGGATAGATAGATAAGATAGATAGATAGTAGATAGATAGATAGATAGTAGATAGATAGATAGATAGATAGATAGACTTCAGTAACCGCGACTCCGTTGGGTTCTTTGACGTGCGTTTAAATCTAGGCACACGGGCCTCGTGCAATTCCCGCTTCCATCGAAATTGCGGCCGCCGTGCCCTGCGGGTCATCAGTCGAACACGATTGCCAATAAACCACCGTGGCAGGTCACATACATTTTATATAATAGCAAGAGCTGTAGCGCTGTATCGGCATCTCAATCATTTTTTTGCCTCAGTCAAGTCATTTCTCACTCGGGGAAATGCAGTGCGACTCAAACAAACACACCGACAAGCGTCAAATGACAGGAGACATAAGATAGACACAGAAGAGCACTTGTCTGTTTCTGGTTACATCTTCTCGTCACTCTGTTAATCTGAGTCGAGCTGCATTTTCCCATTATCCGTACCTCGTCAGAAGTGGTCTCAGGTGATGCATTTGTGTTTACTGCTCCTATAAATAATTTCACTTGCGTTCGTCCGACGTGCAACCGAACCGCGAAAAAATGTGAAATATCTAGCCGTCAATGGAGCCAACAGCAAAAGGACCACTTTGATGAACGTGTATCCAAGTTACATGTAATCACAAGCATGTATTTTTAAGCATATTATCACCGATATAGTAATAAAAGAAACAACCTCAGAACAATGGTTTGCGGTTCTGGGTGAATACGTTTAAAGTGAGGAATTGCCACGCAAATACGTGGATCATTGTCGCAACCTATTAACGCTAACGAAATCATTACAAGAACGGTTGCTCGAATAAAGTGCTATTGATTTGCATTACGGGCATCTAAATCGCATGCTTGATGGCCTACTTCCATGGCCCCAGAAGTAAACAGCAACGATTAACAACAAAACCGATAAATGTTGGCCTGTAAAGCTTGTTTTGTTTCAGTCACTACTGCACGTAGGTGAAGCAATGAAAGCTACGGAGGAAAAAGAAAGTTGAAGAAAGCCTGGATAATTTTCAAGTTAGCGCGAGCGTTGATTGCAATGTGATGTTGCATGAGTACATTAGTAACTGAGAATTGCTTTTTTTACTTTGAATTTTCACGGCTGCTCAATTGTCGAACTGCACGTGTACTGCGCTAACAACACTGTCAGGCATAAAATGTCTAATAGTAGAAGGAAATATGAAATGAGCTGACAAATCACTAATCACAAGCTTTGAATACTTGTGAAGGTCGTATGACTCCCGGAGGCTTTGAAGCTAAAGATAGCTTTATTTGATGTGAGTGGTGATGTACTAGGAGCGTTTCTGGTATGGCATGCAGTCTGCAGAATTCGTGTCACCGATCGCGAAGTGATACCTATGTCTTCATTCCTGTTTGCGACTACTCCTAAATATTGAACGAAATTACTTTGTTCTGTATTGTTTGCAGTCTCGCTTTGCTACTCATCATCTACGTTGATTTTAGTTTTCTTTTGCGCGTGTCATAAGAAAAAAATAGAAGAAGAAGGAAAGTACAAACCAGGTCGTTATCTTGTGCAGTTCTTACTAAAAAACAGCTGCTTATTTTCGTTTAGGGAAGGCGCAAATATAATATTATTTTGTTAAAAATATTGTGTTAAATGAAAAAATAACCAAATAAACCTTATAATATTTCAAGAACTATGCCATAATAAGAACGCAATGGGGACACTTTCGTAAAGGAAATACGCTGAACTGGACTCTCCGCCTACAATGCAGTACGACTTAATAACGCCGCCATATTCACTGTTAACCACAGCTCATAAGCTAGAGAAAAGGACGCATTTCTTGCTACAGCAAATAAAGACATCTATAATAGATGTCAACTACAGTTACTTTCCATGTCATGCGATGCTATGCAAGCTGCAATTTCAGAGTCGCGTCTAACACAACTTGAAAAAAAAAAGAGACAGAGAAAAGACCCGTAGAGACACGAGAAACACAGAACCACTCAAATACCACTTCTTCAGAGTTTGGCAACCTCTTGGAACGATGACACAGCAACCGATATATAATTCCATTGGCACAACAAACGCCGCAGAAGGAGAAGTTGTACACCCATCACTTGCACACAGCCATCCTCTTTGAAATTTTACCGCACGACATCACAATCCTTGGAGCGAATGAAGACAATCCAGCCAGACAAATATCGGCTGTTAATAGCTTGACAAACCGGCGAACATATGTGAGAACCGGACACATTGTGCAGTTGCTTAACGCGATCTGAGTCGCATTCCATTGGCACGACAAGACCGCGACTCGAAGGAAATCGCACGTGCTTTCTTGAGGTCTCGCTGCCACGCCACGAATGGTCCCAGCCCAAACTTTTAGCCTCTCCTGGCGCTCCTCCAACGGCGGCGGACAGGAAGACCACCGTCACGCTGGTGTAGGGGGAAAGGATGAGGCCAACCGTGGCTGCCCCTCCCTTCGTCGCGCGCACCTCTTTCTTTCCTTACCTGAGCGCCATTTTCGCGCTTCCTCTCTCGTGCGCTCCATCGGTGCGCGCGACACCGACAGCGCTTATAGCTTCGGAGTAGAGGAAGGAGAGAAAAAGCGCCGCGACTTCTTCGTCGCGGTGCCCATACGTGGCTCCACCTTCATCACTCCTCGGACCACGACGTCACCAGCTGTCTCGCCCAATGACAGCAGCGCGTTGACCGCAGCCCCGGTTCCGCCCCCAGGTTTCGGTGGGGGGGGGGGAGCCTCCTCTCTCATTCAGCAGCCCACCTCCTCACCGACGTCGCGCGCCATCGCCACGCACCAAACTAACGCTGAACTCGGCGACGCCGTTGCTGCGCGGAAAAAGCCCGCCGTCGCTCCTAGCAGCGCCGGCGCCCCCGCGCTGACGTTGCCACACTCCTCGCGCTTTCCCGATCCTCCCTTTTCTTTCCCGCCCGCCTTCTTTTCCCCTGCGCGTCTTTCCCGATCAACCTGCCCTCTCCATCGTCGATAGGTTTTCTTTTCGCGATCCCCGCTAGCACGCGGGGGAGAACCACCCCCTCCTTCATTTTTCTTCCTTGCTCTCTCTCAGTCTCCTGATGTAGGCTACTTCTCCTTCACCTCCTTCCGGCGGCTAGCAGCACTGTTCAGATCGACTCCGGTCGCGCTGTCTTCGGTCCGCCGGCGCCGTCCGACCGGCCCAGAGCACGGGACGCGATCGCTTTGGTTCGCCAAGAGCGAATCAAGAAGCCGCGCTCCTTGTGCCACCGGCCCTGCCACGTGTCCATCGGACGACTAACTTTCCGTGGGTGCTACCCTTCTCGCCCAAGACTCGAGGAAAAACCAATCAGAACTGTCTATAGAGACGCAGCCGGCGAGTCGAGCATCCCGATGCCGTCACCGGCGATTCGTCCATTCGTAGCCATCCCGCTGCGTAACTGATTGCCGCCATAATTGGGCGGCAGAGACGACTGCGCACCAGGCCGTCGTCCTCAATGGAAGCGTCGACACGTCTAAGTGTACCCTGAGCCACCACGGTGAGGGCGGGTGGTGGCAACGGCGGCGTGTCCAGTCTTTGCTGTCTCGACGTAGGCCCCTGCGGCGTCGAATCGAGAGCCTGGAGCCCGAAGTTCAAAGCCTGATCCAGGAGCAAGAGACCGCCAACGAGCAAGGGACTCCTCGTGGCGGCATTCTAGGCGGCCATCTAGGAGAAGCTTCGACGTTCTTCTCGGTTGACTAGCAACAGGCAAGGCCAAGATGCCTCTGGGGGTCGGTAGAGGAAACCTGTTCGACCAGGGCATGAATGGGCCTGGGTAAGCTGTCCCTACTTTCTGAAACGTTCGGTTTCCTAATTACCATTGTGTGAACGTGACCTTGTTGTGGTGCCTTATTTCCTTACAACGTCCATGTACTTACGAAACAAAAAAGTATGGGAGTACATTTGGTTGCTTCGGAATATTTTTAGGTGGGTATGACTAACACAGGTGTCTCCCTGGGACCGTTATTTCTTACGCGTGAACATAAAACGCGCTTACCATCGTCGTCTTCCAGATACATGGGTGTCCATGAACGCAATAGTTCAGCTGTCCTAGCGTGTATATAGTGTGTAGGGCTGTCCGGGTTTCTTCGTTTTGTTTCGGCAGCTCCATAAGCCCGCAGACATTTCTATTTCTTGCTAGTGCTGGCATTCAGGGGCATATAAAAATGAGAATTAAACATACAGCACAAAATATTAAGTAGAGCGCGCTAAAGGTCGAACTGTGCGGTTGGCGGTAAAGCGAGCTGTTTTCGTCGCCCGTTTACCCCGCAATGCGGGGGACCGCTGGAAGCGCTCGTCTAGGGGTCGCCCGCATTAACTTTCCCCCTGCACAAAACATGGCGGCGGACGGTCCTGATTTGGGCGGGTGACGGAGCACGCCGCAGTGGAGAGGAGGAGGCGGCGCGATGCGTTTCCCGTCGAGGGAAAGAGAAGACGTAGGGAACGAGAAAGGGAACCAAGTGGAGAGGGGTGGTTGGTGGAGAATACAGAAAGGGGGTCAGCCCGAAACGGGACAGCGCCAAGATCTGGGCCACTGGCGCGCACACCCCAAAGCCCGCAGTGGTGACCCCTAGAGGCGAACATCATCGTCGAGTGACGTAAAGGGATTGGCGGGGAAGCCTCGTGACGGCTGCGTAATATTGGAAAAGGACGGTGGCGCTTGTAAACCTTACAAAGGTCACGTTAGCGATCCAAAATTAATTCTAGTTACGGGTGTGACGGAAGCGTACCATTCGCAAACTAGGGGATGAAGCCCACGTTTTTCGCTTACGCAACACCAGCCTACAGTAGCACACATGGGGAATACACGTTTTCCAACTCCCCAGCATTCAGCCCTTTTGCGTCTTCGAAGCCGTCGGCTATCGCACGACTCGAGTGGAACATGTAGTTGCTTTTAACATTTTCCTGTGCGGCTCTCTGAAGCATTACCAGCGTCGTTCACGTTGTCTTTCAAGCATAAAATGCGCTGTCCTAGCGCCATCGTTAGAAATCTTTGTAGGGCTAAGATGTCACGGATGTGCTTGGACGTGTCTGGAGGCGTCAGGATAGTTTAACAGTACAATATAATATTCTGTATTGTGCATACACATCAAGCAACTATCGCCGCGAAAACATCTTGGGATTATTGAAGATTTAAAGGGACACGTGAGAGAAACAATGTTTTCATTCAGATTGACAAATTACAATGTCACAAGTCTAATGCCATAAGCTTCACTCTCATAAGTTCATTAGTAGCAGAGAAAATCGGGGTTGAAGTTCCGTTTTTAAGTTTCACGCCCAAATGTCTGCGCGTGGCGTAACAAATTACAGAATGTAATTTTCATATTTTTGCGACACTGCCTCAATAAAATTTTCCTAAACCTCGCATACTGAGTCTATGGCATCCACGTATGGCAATGTACTTCATTTTTATCGAGTACAAGATATGCAGAACTCTGCAGACGCCTTCAAAATTTACTACGTCATGGTGTTTGGTGCGGAAATGTCACAGTGGCGTCTCCACCCACACTTTCTTTTCGCGCGCTTTTTCGCTTACCAAGTGTCATTTCGAGGTAAGAGTGGTGTTTTCAGGATTGTGAAGTTCTACTTCACTACCGCGCAAAGAAAAAACATTGTTTTGCTCTTTAGTTTCTCTTTAACATGGAACGGTAATACCGTAGCGTAAACGTCAAGGTATAAAGCATGATGTCATCGGAAGAGTTGCTCTTAAAAACACATGAGGCGGTTAGTGGGCTTCTAATAAATACAAACTACAACCTCACGTGGTTCTTGAATGGCCGTTGATATATGCTAAACTACTGATACTCTTGCACACGAGATGTTGATGAATTTGTTGGTAAAATGAACACTTTTTGCTTGGAAGCAATAATGTAATTTACTGTTTAAAGCTCCAAGCCTACGTTCAGCTTCAAGCTTATGTTCATTGTGTATGACAAAGACAAAAAAATGTTAAGAATGCATTTTCTGATGAAAATTAAGCAATCAAAATTGCCTGCATACAAGCTGAATAGAGTCTTTTCTCATCAAACACTATATTAAATCTAAGCAAGGGCCGCTAAAGCTTCAGACTACACATTGAGCTTCCCCAGGGCCTGTCAAGAATCGAATAATTAAATCACAGCAACTTCACTTGTGGTTGATTGTGCTCGTTTTCGGCTCATTATTTGACATGTTATCACCCATTGGTGGTCAGGATATGATGTCGGGGTTTAAGTAGTTTAAGTAACATTTGAACCAAGGAACCGTTATCTGAAATGGTAGCAGTGACTATTAACAAGTTTTTATATGGACAGTCACTACCATGTATGTGTCATTAGAGAAAAAAACAACTCGATGGTCAGCGCACTCGCCAAAAAAATTGAACCACTCAAGGTCAACAGGTTACATTTACACTAGATAAAATGTATGAAAAAAAAGGCCCCTACCAAGTTCGTAAACATGTACTTTATCCGAACCATTGAATCTTGCATTGAAAATTCTTGCCAAACCCTTTCATACTCACTGTAAGCCAACTGGGCCGAAATAGTAAGCAGAGATGCGATAATAATATCTGAGCAATTTCTACAAAAGTATTAAGGTTATATTCCTGACACTGGCTTTCGGTATAGTTCACATATAGTGGTACTAACTTTCAAGTTGACATAGTGGACACAAACCCTTAAGAGGAAGGTATATGACAGCTGCATCTTGCCGGTACTTACCCTACGGAGCCAAAACATGGAGTATTACAAAGAATGTTCAGCTTACATTGAGGACGACGCAGTGAGAGATGGAAAATAAAATGATAGGTGTAACCTTAAGAGACACGAACAGAGCTGCGTTGCTCAGGGAACAAACCATGGTAAAGGATATGCTAGTTGAAATCAAGAAAAAGAAATGGACATGGGCCGGGCACGTAGCACGTAGGCAGGATAATCACTGGTCATCAAGGGTAACTGACTAGATTCCCAGAGAATTGAAACGCACGAAGGGGCGACAGAAAGGTATAGGTGGGCCGATCATAATTAAAAGTTCGCAGGTACAACGTGGTAGCAGAAAGCACAAGACAGGATTGATTGGCGGATAACGGGAGTGGCCCTTGCCCTACAGTCAGGATGATCATGTTGATGACGAGGACATAATGTGATGCATGCCATTGCGTCGTATATACCGACAGGTAAAGCAGCCGTGATGTTCGTTTCGGATACGGCGAAACCTTTAAATGCGTGTTTCTAAGCCGCCTCAGTGAGAAAATTGTCCATCCGTCCACCTTTCGCATAAGGTGATCGCCGCCTTAGGGACATAAAGGAAATGTTTTCACTCCGGTACATGCCCTTGCAGCTGACCCCCTACGGTGTGAAGGCGAGCCTCTTAAACCCTGCACTACACATCACTTTCTTTTTTCTTAATTGCAGTGCTTCAGTTTCCGACAATGATATGCAAGTACTTACTATTTTTATCTTGTTGTTTCAAGTACGTTGGTTTATATTCAACAGACAATCCCTGATAGTACCCAAATAAACACTTTCTTTTTTAAAATTTTGTTCAAATAAAAAACAAACTTGAAGGCTTGCGAGAGTGCTCTATAGCTTGTCGAGCATAATCAGTACGACGTGCGAAGCCAGTGCTTGCAACATAATTAGGAGGACCCTACATGAATGACCCGTCGCGCAGAACAAGAGCAACAACGGAACACCTTCTATGAAGGCCTCGTTGAAATACGTATAGCAATGGAATGAAATCATCGGAAGGGCAATACCTGAAGCCGACATAGAGGACTGTTGGAATCAGAAAATAAAAAAATCAAACTTGGCGAAATCGACATGTCAAACAAGCGCTTCGGTGGTCGCGCAATGCGCGTGCGCCAAATGGCACACGCGCGAGTTTTAAAAAGATGACGTGACGCTAATGAGTGCTGAGAAAAACACAAAAGACGCCGTGCCGATGCGACCTAAAACGGCATTCTTGGGACGTAGGACCGCTACATATATCATCGTAAGTAGCCACGCTTTCGCGTCCCTTAGAAAACTCTCATGGAAGATACTGTGATGACTTTCGTTTCTATCGTGCAAGACTATACGACCAAAAGCCCTGATAAAGGGAACATTCCTGTGTGTCTAGAAAAAGTGGTTAACGACAGACAGCGTGGGTTTAGAGTGTGCTTTGAAAAAATGTTTAACAATTTCGAGTGCTTCGTACTCAACTATGGGGGAGCACGGAGCCGTCCGGCTAAAAATGTAATAACCTTTAAAGTTTGTTTAACATGTTCATTGTTTAGAAAAAAATTAATTACAGTATGTACAGAACACAAAGGCTTCATACCATTCCAGTAACAGGGCACACACACTTCGGCACATCTATGTATCACGACCAACATCACTACGTTATAGAGTGAAGACATTTGCTCTAACATACATGACAATGTTGGCATACATGTACACAATATCTCAATAAAATATCATGATACAATGGTATAACGATACATTAGATGCTATGAAACACGATTTGTAACAAATGAAATCATATATAACAACTCAACGGGCGCTGCTTAGCACCAAGTCGGTCGAAAAATGAGGTGTATCCTTTCCTGTTCTACCTTGACGAAAGGGCACGACCAATATGCCGCAGAAACTCGTGCTCCCCGAGGAAGAAAAGCTCCTCAGAAAGGAACGCGAGAATCTCTCGTCTCATTCTCCCTAGTATCGGCCACAAAGCACGCCGGCGGCAATTGGTAGCTACGGCCTCACATCAGTTTCTCTAAAGGCTGAACAGCTCCGCAACTATTAACAGAGCGGA